TCGTTTCGTTAGAACCGGCTGCAGCGACTCCCTGCGACGGCAGCGGCCGCATGCAGTAGCCACTAAACGTTTTCGGCGGCAACGAATGGTGGCCTGAGAGGGGTACATCGGTCGAGTTACCAGCAACTGACTTCATCTCAGAACTTTTCACCAACGCCGCGTTGCTTGGCGTAGGCATTTTCGAATACTTCGGCTTTAACAGCGGCGATACGTTACTCTACAATGTGAGCATAACCGGCAGAAAAATGTTTATCAATTAACGACAAAATTTTTAACACCAAAACACTTCATAATACGTTTTCACTCACTGAATAAACGCTAACAATGACTACACAGAGGGTAGGCCGATTTAGGGGGCACATTACAAGGCAACAATACGCACTTCAGTTCAAAACAAGATAAAAGCATAAAAGAATTTCAAAGACCTCGTACTTACGGAAACGTCTACTTTAAATGTGGAAAGGGAAAACGGTAGCGACAAAAAGAAAGCAGCAACGCCTACGATGAAATGAAAACAATAGATCAAGCACTGGAAATAAACTTGGCGAATGCGACTGCTCTTTTCTTGTCAACTTCAAGCATATTTCATTCTGATCCGGCATATTCGTAGTGGTTACTGACAGCAGACGAAGATTTGTTCACAACAACGCAGTTACGACAATAGTGAGCAGGATCATGATTATAATGAAATCGGTGCTCATGATTAAATGGAAGGAAAGTAGAGTTATAACCGTAGGAATATCGGTCTTTTTTACACCTTCATGATGGTTCCACCTCAAACGCTCTAATTTTCTCTCTTTTTTTTTCCTATATGAAGTTAATGGTGTGACGCTGATCTCCATTTCCATGCCACCAGTCAAGAGTGTCTTACTTTACGTGCAAAATCGACATCAACTATGTGGAAAATAAAGCGCGTAGTTCCCTGTTTTCTTCCCACAGGATGATGCTCGTTTATTATAACAAGCTCAGAAGAAAAAAAGCGAATGGTTCGACTGGGGCTAGAATTCAGGACCTCTCGGCTCTGAGTCTGACACTCTGCAGACTGAGCAACCCTGATGGCGACAGTGATAATTACGAAGACGGTAACACTTATGACAATGATGATTAGGGTAATGATGAAGGACTGCCAGCAAAACCAGATATTACTGCAGGAACGAAAATGCTTCAAAAAGCAGTACCAGAGCGATTATCGCACTTACCTCAACGTGGTACTGAGATGGACCGTCGGACAACAGCAAGCACTCCTCCTCGGCCACGATGTCAATATAACGCTCGAACTGCTCGAACCACTTGTTTAAGCTGTCAGCGCTCAGCGCTGACAGCTTCAACACAGCTTTGCCACTCGTCCTGTCCTGCAGAACGAGCAGGTTCTTTTGTTCGTCGCCATCCGTCTCCTTTCGGATACACACGTCGGCGACCGGTACTTTGCCCTGCACAAAAGCACACGCAGCATTTATTAAGTGTACACAACACATACGCCAACGCAAGCTACGGCAATCACCTTAAAAATGTATGAGTTTTGCTTGCGGTCGATCTGCAGGACGATGAGGCAGGAGGAGAAAAGCATAACCAAACGCTCGTCCTTTTGGTTTTCATCGCCGACCACGCTCATCATACCCATATGCAACATTCTTCCAAGTGAATTTATGCTCTATAATCAAAGAACTGCAACAAACACTGGCGAAGTGCTGCTGATTATCGACTGTTTCATGAGATCAACAGTAGCTCATTGCTATGAACGCGTGAAATAATTCGCCTACTTCTGAACCACCCTAAAATCTGTCACTGCCATACACTGTGCCAGTTGCTTACACCACAAGAAATAACCTGGTTCACAAACAGACGTACATCTGTTTCATCAACCTGAACCCTTAATCTGTTTATAGAAAATGACATGAGAGAACCGCATTTTGTAAGCTGCAAAAGTGCTTGCGTTGATGCAATGAATAAGAACTAATCGAGTTACGCGTTTTAGTACAAATACTACATAGACTGATGTGTCACACACAACGCAGTGTGCTCAGTTTAAAAAGACGAAAATAATTAAACCGGGTTTGTTTTATACATCTTGTTAAGATAGTACCGTTCTCTCCAGTCACGACT